ATAAAGTAAGTTTCAACAAAATGACCGGCACAATCAGAACATTAGTAAGCCATAAGGGCTAAATTGGCAGCTGCTATGCTCATGAGTTACTTCTAACTTCCATCATCTGACTGGCGTCACTACCACAAGAGACTGGCTGGTGAGAGTTTAGGGGGATCAAGTACACCAATCTGTTATCAACTTTTGACAATGGTGCACTGGTTTCTGTTTAAAGTATAAATTGTGAATAGTCGCACAGCTTGACAGTATTTTTGAATTCCGTCTGCTTAACAGCCCATCATGTCAAAGAAGACCAAGAGAACGCTGAAGGAAGAAAACAGATTTTTTAATGAGGATTGGGAACAGCAACATTATCTTGTTTCTGCCAAAAATAAGATGATTTGCTTGCTTTGTGATACTGCAGTATCAACATTAAAGGAATTCAATGCTCATTAGTATTATAACACTCATAAGGACCACAAAGATTTTAAATTAGAGGGAGAGGCATGAAAGGTAGTATTGTAGAAATTAAAAGGTGAAAAGCAAAACCAAAGACAATTCTTTCAAGCAGCAATATGACTGGGAAATAATGCCACTGAAGCAACTTATAAAGTAGCTTATATACTTGGGAAAAAAGGGAGGCCCTTCAGTGATGTAGAAATTGTGAAAGAATGCATTGTCAAAGTGGTAGCATGCTTAGACCCCAATAACGTTTCAAAGTACAAACAACTGCCTCTTTCAAGGAGAACCATAACTGATTAGCAGCATGAATTAGCCTTCAACTTAACAGAACAACTTCATGCAATACTTCAAAAGCAAAATATATATTATTCAATCTCTTTGGATGAATCAACTGATACTACTGATCCAGCACTTTTAAAAACTCCATTTGGGTCATAACAGGAGATTTTTTTTGCTATAAAGAGTTACTCACTTTGGGTACTCATGCGAACAGAACACAGGGAATAGATATCTTTGACGACTTTCAAGATAAATGTGAAGTTGGACTGAATTTGGTAAATTTAGTGAGTGTATGTACACACAGTGTACCTTCCATGACAGGAAAACATGAAGGGTTTATTGCACAGATAAAAAAAGTATTAACAGATCCAGATGTTCTCATTTTTTTTCATCCTGTCTTGCATCAGCAAAATCTCTGTGCTAAAGCTACTATTTTAAGTGACACTTTGCAACAAGTTTTAAGTACTGTTAACTATGTTCATGCGAATACAACACAGCATTGTCAGTTTTGTAACATATGAAAAAGTTGAAGGATGAAGTATTCAGTGTGGATTTGCCGTATCATTCCAAAGTGTGTTGGCTATTACAGGGATGGTGTCAGCCAAAATTTTAGCTCTGTGAGAACAGATAATTAAATTTTATGAAGAACAGAATCAGTAATGTGAATTATTGAAAGATTTCTACAGGAATTTCTACATGTGATATCATGTCAAATCGAAATGATTTGAATATTTCTTTGTAGGGTGGAACTAGGTGTATATATGACATGTGGCAAAAAAACCCAAGCATTTCGGGGAAAAACTATCTTTTTTCAAAACACTTCTTCAAAAGGAAATTTCCGATCAACATTTTCCCCAGTTGACAAAGGTCACTGATGACCAGGATGATATGTGAGAATCACTTGAAGAATACACACAGACCTATTAATTGGAGAATA